GATCTAGCCATGTCTGTCCGTCTGTCTGTTGAAAGCACGATAGAGTCCGAATGGAAAGAGCTAGAGGATTGAAATTTCACATAAATATTTCTTATAGGTAAGGATTGTTTGGTATTGGAAATGGGCAATATCGGTCCACGTTTTCGGATAGCCCCCATACAAGTGGCCCCTCGAAAAGCAGCTTTAACAGCCATAACTTGTTTAAAAATACGAATATAGCGATGAAATTCGACATAAGTAAGTTTCTTATGATCCAAAATCACTATGAAAAATTTTATGAGGATCGGTCCATAATTGACCCTACCCCCCATATAAGGTCCCCCTCAGAAAATGACTTTAACGCTCATTAATGGCTTAAAAATACTAGTATATAGATGAAATTCGACATAAGTAAGTTGGTATGATCCAAAATCACTATGCAAAATTTTATGAGGATCAGTCCATGATTGACCCTACCCCCCATATAAAGTCCCCTTCAGAAAATGACTGCAACGCTCATTAATGGTTTAAAAATACGAGTGTAGCGATGAAATTCGACACAAATAAATTTAATACGAACTAAATTCTGTCTACCAAATTTTATGAGGATCGACCCATAATTGACCCTACCCCCCTATATAAGGTCCCCTTCAGAAAATTACTTTAACGCTTATAACTGGCCTAAATATACGAGTATATAGATGAAATTTGTCATAAGTAAGTTTCATTCGAATCATACGAGGTTTGATGGTGGGTACATAAGATTCGGCATAGCCGAATATAACACTCTTACTTGTTTTTTATTGTTTATGACAATAGAAATTCCATATTTTATTGCGGTATACATATGTATAACAATTTTTGAATTCTTGCTACTTTCCGTTGCAATAATCGTATTTATTTTTGTTCGAAAAGGGGGTAAAATTTTTCAAAAAGCGAAATTTTAAAACAATTGCCATAAATAATTACGGAAATTTGCGTAAACTTCTTTTATTGTTTCTAAAAATAGAGATTTCATATTTTATTTCGGTATATAGCAATTATTGACAACGTGCTACTTTCCGTTATAAATATATATTTCTTAAAACCGGACAAATTAACAACTGATAAAAACAGTATATGAAAAGTGAAAATTGGAAAATAAAAAAATCTAAAAAAATGGTGCAAACTTTTCTTTTTGTTCCTGAATATAAAGAGTTCATATTTTGAAAATTCACCATTTATGCAGAATTTTGTTCTCTATCGAACTGTATGCTAAATTTTTTAAATTTCTTTAAATTCATTTTGGTGTTTTTGGCCAGGTTTTCAGGGTAAATGGCGCATAGTGCGACGTTCTGAAAAATTCGATTAGATACTATTTTGTCTCTCCTGGTATATTGCAGGCTACTCCCATTCGTGGTCAGTATATTACTATTCACGTTCACGCCCTTCCCAAATAAGCACTTGTGTTTTACAAACTCCCTCTTTAAACCTGGTTTTTAATTAATCCGCCTATTAATACCCCTATGCGTCAGGATCATAGGGGTGTGTAATTATTTTAAAATATGTGAGGAATATTCACTACGTAGGTTATACCGGATTTGGTACCCAATTTGAAGCACTCATCAGATTAGCTTTCTCTTGATCGCTTTTAAGAAGACGTCACGCGAAAATCCTTAGCAACTAGTTCCCATTGTTGCAGGCGTGATGCTAACATTTCCGCACCAGTTTTGGATATTTTTATATCACGCTCTAGATCAGCAAAGTCAGCCTCTGTTATAAAATTTTGCATTCAATCTCACTTACTGAAGCTGAAGACTAGCAAACACTTTCAATAAAGAGTAGTTTGACAATAGGGATTCTTCAATGAGAACTTGATTATTAATTTTGTAATAGCTGTGTAAATGGACCTCATTGGATGCCGATTTCGTTCTTCGGTGTGACACTAATATTCCGCGATAGCTATATTCACAAGTGACGTTGGATAATACCATGCATTTGGTCGATAATTAAAAAATAATAATCTTCATAAAATACATAATAGGGGTTTTCATATAAACGTTCAAAAGCCTCGCAAACTGTGCAATCTGTGCATTTTCAATTTTGCATTGAATTTGTCACAAATTGTGTTGGATTTTACTTCCACAACACTGATACATTTGATTGCATATTTGAACTGATCATTTTAAACTAATTTTTTTCTTTGTAATAATGCAGATAGCCATGTGTGCAAATGTGCAAGTTTGCACACGTGTTTCATGAATCCCCTTAATTTATAATTTCGATATTTATTTGCAGGTAAAAATAGTACACAAACCATTTTACTTTATTTCACTATTTTAACTTTATTTCACTGTTAGTATTTTATCAAATTATAACAAGCAAATCGTGATCTAACCGTTTTAAACAGAGACCGTTCCTATCGCCAGTACAAGTAACATGTATGTTCACCTGAAATTTTCGTTTCCTTTAAAGGGAAAATTTTTTCAGAATAATGTTTTTGTTAGTTATGTTTGTTCTATCGAAAATTTCACAACATGGAAAATTTTAATTGAATTGGTATTCAAATAAATCAATGAAACTGATTTAAATTCATGGAAAAATGGAGAATGGATGGATCAACAGGACAACAAATATTTATTAGAAATGGGAAACTAAAGAAGATTTAAGAAATGTTGATGTTTCTCTTCAGTTAATCACAAAACATATTATTCGAAAAATGTTTCGACCAATACAGATTGAATTTGTTAAAGAAACTAACGAAAACGTCAAAAAATAAGTACAAAGTACTGTCATCAGAAATATAATTACTTGATAGTCGCAAATGTATAAAGTAAAGATATTTTCATTTCATTTTTGTTTTTCTATAATCACAAATACATATGAGGAACAAAAGAAAATGTCAAAAAATATAAAAAATATAATTTTAGTATTTTTCAATTTCAAACAACTTTTATTTCCTAAATTTGAGTTTTTCGTGCAAATAAATTAAAAATATTGTTCTTAAAGGCTTTTATTTTTTTTGTAAATAAAAAATGCATATTTTTGCAAATAAAAATGTATGTTATAAAGTTATAACCGTCTTGTCTATACCCGAGCAAAATTACGTACATCAATACCCAACATACCCGGGTATGTCATACAATTTCATCTTTTTATACATTTCTAGTGTATAATTCAGATAATTATTAAAACTAATTTAATAAAACGTCTTTATATATAAATTAAATAGTTTTTGATCATAAACCATTCAATTTTAGCAATTTTTTTTTAAGTTTTCTTATTGCTTTCCTATTAACAAAAATATCATATGCAAAAAACCTAAATAAATACACTCTCATAACGTATAATGTACATTATGCAGAATTTGACTTTGTAAAATTTTGACTTCAAGAAGCTATTACTCAGTGACCGGGAAAGATAATTGAACAAAACTTTTTATATATTATTTATTGAGGCTTATAAAATCGATTAGCATTAAAGAAATTGTTTTTGCCTTCGTAAGTAGGGAACTTTTTTGCCAAAAAAGATTGGTAAGTCATGGTCAAAAATTAAAATTTGAAAATTTAAACTTAAATATTTTTGTTTATATGAGAATAAAATTATTATAATCAGCATAATTTTACTTTATTGAGTCATATACAATAAAAAAAATTATTTCATCAAAATCGGTCCATATTTGTTAATATTACAGTCTCCACAAATATTTCACCTTCAATTTTATGAATAAAGACACATGACTCTGTATTTGAAACTAAATTTGTTGTTTAGTTCAATTTTTTTTCATAAGATACAAGAATATATATAATCCTAATAATAAAACATAAAATTTATTCTGAAACTTAATTTTTGTCCGATAACTGGCATATAATTTATATACATACCGGGGTATGTTAGGTATTGATACACGAGGTAAAAATAGAAAATCAGTCATAAATCGGTTTAATATATATATATATATATATATATATATATATATATATATATATATATATATATATCTAATTAATTTTGGAAAATATATAGAAAACATAACTCTGAAAGCATAGTCCAAATTTCAAGCCGATACGATATATTGATCTCAAGATATATCACTTCAAAAATGAAAACATACCCGGGTATGTGGGTACTGACATAAGGGATAAAGTTTTCGAAAACCGAAGTGAAAACTTTAAATTTGGTTTTTCAAAAACTAATAAGTTTTCATTTTTGGTGTAAATGCACTGTAAAAAACTTATATTAATAAACAGTTATACAAACCTGTTATAAAATAAAATGTTCTTTATGAATGAGGGGATTCACCCCTTAACCTAACCCCTATCTGTCATATATTCTATCTATCTATCTATCTACTATCTATCTATCTATCTATCTATCTATCTATCTATCTATCTATCTATCTATCTATCTATCTATCTATCTATCTATCTATCTATCTATCTATCTATCTATCTATCTACCTATCTATCTATCTATCTATCTATCTATCTCTCTATCTATCTATCTATCTATCTATCTATCTATCTATCTATCTATCTATCTATCTATCTATCTATCTATCTATCTATCTATCTATCTATCTATCTATCTATCTATCTATCTATCTATCTATCTATCTATCTATCTATCTATCTATCTATCTATCTATCTATCTATCTATCTATCTATCTATCTATCTATCTATCTATCTATCTATCTATCTATCTATCTATCTATCTATCTATCTATCTATCTATCTATCTATCTATCTATCTATCTATCTATCTATCTATCTATCTATCTATCTATCTATCTATCTATCTATCTATCTATCTATCTATCTATCTATCTCTATCTATCTATCTATCTATCTATCTATCTATCTATCTATCTATCTATCTATCATCTATCTATCTATCTATCTATCTATCTATCTATCTATCTATCTATCTATCTATCTATATATCTATCTATATATCTATCTCTCTATGTAATAGCTTTAAAGGGTAGGGAGTTCGAGGCAGTTAACCGACAAACAAAAACTTGGGGGTTACTCTCTATTGCGATGCGAAAGAAAAATGGTACGCAATTGAATAATTGGTACCCTTTATTGCGTTTTCGTATTTTCCTTTCGCATCTGATTCGCATCTAATTCGCAAATCTGGCATCACCGCATTCTGTAATTCGAAAGCGTATGTCAAAATCGTTCGTAAAGCTCAAATAACTTGCGCTTACAAAATATCAAACGCAAAGGAAACGAATCATGTAAGTAAGCACAAATAAATGTTTATATTTATATCTAAATTGTTATTTTTTAGGGAAAAGCCGAAAAAGTTGCAGACTCAGCAACGCCAGTTCGAAATCCTAGTTGATTTTATGGAGCAACATAGCGATTTGGCAGAGGGACAGTTGCAGTGTGGAAATGCCAAACAACGCGCCAACAATTTGTGGACAAAATTGGCAGACGACCTTAATTGTAATGGACCTCCTGTAAGGGATGTAGCTGGTTGGAAAAAAGTAATGTATTATGATATTTTTATATAAAACGTGAAACTAACACAGTATTAATATGAATATTTGTGCACATGTGCATATAGGTTTGGTCTGACCTAAAAACCCACACGAAGGTTAAGATGCGCAAGAATAAAATTAGCATTTCCAGCACGGGTGGTGGTGTCTCACAATATTGCCCACTTTCTTCTATGGAGGAACAAATCATAAATCTTCTTCAAATGGAAGAAGCCGTCAATGGACGGGCAACATCAACATACTTTGGCACAAGTAGTAACGTTAGTCACGATGTTTCAGCAAACAAAGAGCCTGCAGAAGAAGTTTTATTATCTTCGCAAAATGAAAATTACAGTTTAAGTGAATCAGCGCCCGCTGACAAACGTAGCTGTTTGGATGACAGTTTTAAGACAGCCAAACGTTCGCGGCTGTCAAAACAAAACGAGCGTGATATTCTGCTAAAAACTCAAGTAGAAAACCAAGGAATATTTCACAATGAATCCACTAAAGTTTTGGGCGATGTTCGGGATTCCTTGAAAGAATTAGTAAGATATAATAGAAAAAAAGTTGAATTAAAGGAAAGAAACATTTTGCAAAAAAAAAAAAATTTGAATTTAAAAAAGAATACAAGCTCCAAAAACAAAAAACGCAAATAGAAAAGCTAGAATTAAAAAAGAAAATTTTAGAATTAGAAATAGGAAAACCGATGTGATATTTTTACATATGTATTTATATATGTATGTACATATCAGTCGACTTTTGTATTTTATAATTTCGTTATTTTTATGTTAATCGTTATTTTTTGTCTAATGAGATTTGTACTGAAGTTAAAGATCTCAAAATCGCCATAAAGAAGCTTTAAAACTTTACATTATAAGTTTTTATTAACACTACAATTAAATGAATTCCTTATACATATTTGTTTTTTTTTCGATTTGTAGAAACTTTTACTATCAAAAATAACCAAGTTATAACAGAAATTGAAACTAAAGTATCATCAACTACATGATTTTCTTAAACGAAATAACGTATACTCTTTGAGTAATTAATTAATAAATCGTTTTTACCTTATTTTATGTAGTATACTAATTTTTTTAATAAATTTTTTGCAATTGAATATATGTATTTTGCAGTCTTTTTGAATATGAATGAATTACCTTTTTTTAGTTTAAAAAAGTAGTTAGTAATTAAAATAAAAATAAACATAACTGCTTTTATTTAAAATAAAAAAATATTTTTATTTAAGTTTTTATTTTTTCATAAAGTTATGTTCTTAAAATCAAACTGTTTCTAATATTATTCCTTATTTCCTTAGCAATAGTTGTTTGGCCATCGTTGTTCGTATTGCTATTAAGAGACATATCAATTTCATTTAGACTTTCTGTCTCAGCAATTTCGTGTATTGGTAGTTGTACATTAAAATTAGAACAAATATTGTGCAGGGCACAGCAAACGTTCATTATTTGAACCACTCTTTCCGGTGCGTAATGCAACTCTCTGGCTGCTAACAGGCACCGAAATCTGCCTTTTAAAACACCAAACACTCTCTCAATTATAGACCTTCCTTTGCAAAACTGTTTATTATAAAAAGCTTCGGACGAGTTTTCCGTTGCGTTTCTGTATGGAGTAAGTAGCCAGGGTTCCAAGGGGTAGCCCGAATCGCCTTTTAGAAAATTAAAAAATAAGTAAGAAAAAAATTTTAAAATTATTTTAAGTTAATTACCAATCAGCCAAAATCCCTTTTCTCCTCTTTCGAAACGTTCTTTTAATTTTTGCTTTGCATTAGAAGGGGCCCAAACATGTGAGTCATGGCTTGCACCACCGTATCGGCAATCAATAAATCTTATTATCATTTTGTGATCACATATCTAAAAATTTAATATCAAAGTAAGATTTAATGGCAAATGCAAACATAAACATTCACATACCACCATAGCGTTCATACTGTGCTTTAATTTTCTGTTGAAGTATAAGTGCTCGTTCCTGGCTGGTCGAATCATTTGTATATGGGTACCATCCACTGCTCCAATCACCCCAGGAATGCCACATGTATGTAAAAATCCTCTTTTAATTTCGTTTTCCTCTTCAGCAGTAACCTCAAATTTGATGTGCTTGGGACAGAGTATTCGCTCAATCACCATGCAAACTTCTTGTAAGCAACGCGACATAGATTGCTGCGATAATCCTAAGAGATGGTCTTGGCCAATTTGGTGTTGATATCCACCTTGCCCAAGCAATTTCAAAGCAGCGGCAACTTTTATTGCGGTTGGAATTGCTGTGGATCTCTTTGGAACGATGAGGTCGTGTTGAATAGCGTTTAATACATACATAAACGCATCTTTATTTAGTCTAAAGTTTTGTATAAAACTATAAAAAAGGAATGTTTAAAAACATTTTTCACATGATACGTACTCCTATTTTCATACCTTTGGTCATTTAGGGAGAGTATATCCGATCTATCTCTCAAAATTCTCCTTGTAATACGTTCCACATGTTCATTTTCTTCCTCAAACCATAACGCCACCGAATCCATTACAATTTATTTTATGTTATTATATTTTTAACAAAAAACGCGTACTGCACAAAAAATTAGTTTAAAATGTTTTTATTTACAAGTTTTGACATTTCATTTTGTCATTCTTCGCTATTGTTTATTTTGTTGTGCCAGTGTTGCTTCATTTTCAACTTATTTTACGAAAGCGCTTGCGTAGACGATGCAGAGTACCAAATTATACTCTTATCGCATTTACCTTTCGTATCGAACTTGCTTTCGCATCGCAATAGAGAGTAACCCCCCTGAACTAAAAATATGGGTGAGAGAATCCCATAAGGCCTCTTGGAATAATGAAACTGTGGGTAGAACCACGAAGATCCTGTGGGATGACCCTGATGAGAGCAAGACGAAAAATCTCCTCAAAATGAGCAAGTCTGAAGTTATTATGATGGTACGACACACAGGATTACGAGCACATCTATGCAAAATTGGACGTGCGGATTCAGACGAATGAAGAGCACGTGGAGAGGACAATAAAACTCTGGAGCACTTTCTTTGTCACTGCCAGGCATTCGTCGAAGTTAGATCCAAGTATCTTTGAAGTGTTGTTATTACGGAAATAACATTCCTGACTAATACTGATTGGAAGATTCTTAGGAATTACGTTCAGGAAACTGAGTTTATGAACGCTGAAAAATAATTCATTCAGTTCCCTTTTTTTCATGATAAGGAGCGCACAACAGGCCCGATAGAGGCCTAGGTGTATTTCTTCGGATTTGATGTAGTATACATCCTCCTATCAACCAACCTACCTAGTTATATACTAGACTAATGGTATTATTATACATAGATTAGACTAGACCAGACTTAAGACTATACCACAGACTAGATATTAATCAAACTTTCCTTTGAGCAAAACAAAGAACAAAAACGCCCATTTTGAAAAAATAGTTGAAAATGAAATGCTAAATAGTAAAAAAATCTTATTTTTGGGTAAAAAATTATTTCTTTGATAGATATCTCACTTTCATCCCATTATGGGACTAAAGCCCTTAAAGGAAATTTTATAAACTATCTTAAAAAAATAAAAAAAATTTTGGAAACAATTAGTAAAAATAGCTATCTGAACTCCTTTGGACATCTTTTGCTAGGACCAATAAGTGAAAAGTTACTGTTATTTGAATAAAACCCTGTATGACCAAAATGTCCAACTTTGACGTTTGAACTGCCTCTAAGTCTGGCAGTTCTTGATTTCTGAAAGTTTGTGTCTGGCCTATTATCCAATAGTACTAACCTTGCTGCAAATTTCATATAAATCGGAACACAACGATTTTAAAAGTTGGGTCACTTTACGCAAAATTGCCCATATATGTAGTTTTAAAGTACCAGTAAATTTGAAAGGAAGTTTTGAGGCATTGAAAGTTGTTAGGTCCCAAAATTTCACAGACGTGGAAAAAGTTTTTATCAATATCCTGCAACGAGATGTCATTGAAAACATTCCAAGATTATGACATCAACAAAGATTTTATTATTGGCCTTCAGGATTTCGGCGATGAAAATCGATCGAACAGTTTAGCAACAAGTGTAGTAGCAATAATGGCAACCGGAATAAGTTTGTCACAGGCAGTTTCATATTTTTTTTGCGATAGTTGTCAAGGATCTATGTATATTACAAACATAAATGAGACTATTTCAAAACTACAAGCAATAGGCTTACATCTTTTCCCCGTCGTTTGCGAACAAGGATCCAATTTTCAAAATTTAAGAAAAGTAGGCAATGTTACCACTCAAACGTCATATTTTTTAGTAAATAATAATAAAATATTTTTTATGTATGAAAGTCCCCATATTGTGAAAAAAATTAAATGAAATAAATTTTAAATCTGACTTTACTTTTAACAAAAAGCTAATGGAAAAGGACTTATTGGAAATGTTAGATCATTTGAAATAAATAATCCTAAATCTAACGGAATAAAATGCCTCTCGAATTTGAACTAAAAACGCAGTTTTAGCAAAATGGTTTTCTTGAAAAAGGAAAACTACTGTGGAAACAAAAGAAAAGTTTATATCCAAACAAAACTTTAATCCCCTACTTTCTTTATACAGATGACTCAATAATCCTTTAGAATCTAAATCACATTCCGTGTGCAATTTCCACTACAGTATTCCTTATAATTCCAAAAAATCCTCAAAGTGGTACAATATGCCCCCGACAATATATAAAGTTCTTATTCATGGCGCTGAAATAATTCAATATAGCTGAATATTAATAGGAAAATTTTTATAGGATGCTCAGGAAGCATCCAACAAAAATTTTTAAATCGGCCAGAATGAGTCATAGCAGAGGATTTTAATATAAAAAATAAATATAACGTCCTTTATTATCCATTAGTATCCTCGGATCCATTTTTTAGAAAAATCAAAATAAAAAGTGATAAAAATATTCATAACATCATGGAACCTTTTGAACTTTTTAACTTATTAGCTCACACACGGAATTTTGCGTGTGAGAGAAAGAAAAATAAATATCAACAATCTCTTTTTCTCACACATAAAATCAAAAGTTTCCCTGTGTGAACCGGCACTTAGTTGAGTGACATTTACTGCCACATAAAGAACTCTTAGAATTTCATCAAGCTGTTTTGAAAGTGAGGATGAAAATTTCATCTACAAAACTACTAATGTTCCACCTTAAGGATAAAAGAAATATCATAGGATATAGGACGAAGTTTTTCCAAAATAAGAGACTCCCAGGCATAACTAATATGTCTGTTTTCTTATCAGACCGATTTAATATATCCATATCAGCTGTCTCGCGTATTAAACTATAAGATATAAACACTAGAGCCCTGCATGAGTGACTCTATTTGTCACCCACAATGAGTAATCCACTGCATTGCACTCAACTCATTTTGTATTTTGAATATTATTTACAAAGAGTGTGTACATTTGATTTTAATAATTCAAATTTTTGTTTTACTCAATCATTGCGAGTATTTTTGTGTAAGTGTACGTCTACATTCAAATCGAGTAAGTTAACAACTTACGTATATTAAAAGAATACAAAATAAATATTTTGAATCGAGTGAATCGAGTTTTAAATGCCAAAAGAAAAATAATTTAAAAAGAAAAATAATAAAAAAACATGATATCGCAAATTAA